TCCAGTGTTTCTGAAAGATTGTTTGTGTTTAATTTTTTTTTTTCTTTTTTTTCCCCTCTACTATCTGTCTGGCTTCTCCCTTGCATCCACTTGGGTCTATTGCCTCTTGTGCTGTCGCTGTATACCTCCATGAAGGGTCTACCCTTGCAGTTGGTGACAGCAACAAGATCTCCCTTGAGCTTCCTCTTTTCAGGCTGAACATTTCCAGCGCTCTCAGCCTCTCCTCATACATCAGGTGCTCCAGCACCTCTGACCATCTCAGTGGCCTCCCCTGGACTCACCCCAGTGGGTCCATGTCTCTTGCACTGGAGAGCCCCAGCACCAACACAGCACTCCAGGTGTGGACTCTCAAGTGTCGCATGGGATGGGTCACTTCTCTTGACCACCTTTGCTACTCCAGCCCCCAGGATGCTCTTGGCCTCCTTTGCCACAAGGGTGCATTGCTGACTCATGTTCAACTTGATCTCCACCAGCACCCCAAGGGTCTTTTCTGCAGAGCAACTTTCTAGCCGGGGAGTCCAACTTCTACTGCTGCACCGGACCTTATATTAAGGGACAGACTGCCGCTCATTTTAAAGAATGGGTGCTGAGGCTATCCGTAACAGCTAGTAATGTATTATGTCTGTTTTAATTACAAACAATGCCATCAACATGTAAGTAGATGCAAACTTTCCTGAGTAACGAAGGATAAAGGTAAAGGAGGTCAGCTTTTCTAAATGCTTATTTGTTAAGCTGAAATTTTCAAAAGGCTGTTCCCCCCGGTCTCCCATGCTTGCTTGTGCATTTGTTTCAGTTCTTTCATGTCAGTTCTGTCCTTGACACTGTCAAAGGAATGCTTGGAAGTTACTGTCCCCTCCTGAGAAGATCTGGTTCCCCTTTGTTTGAAATGGGACGTTGAAATGGACAAAGACCTCTGTGGTGGCATTGCATTTGAGCCTGCTGTTTTCCTCATGAAAAGTTCCTAAAACTTTGCTGAATTGTGAGTCTCTCAAAGCAGCAGTTTGCAAATGCCCCAAATAAATTTACTGTGTTCCTTGAGAAAAAGGTGCTCAAGAAATCTGAAAATTTTCTTGAACCCTACAGATCTCTTTGGCCAACTCTTGCAAATACTAACCTACAGAGTCATCGAGCATGCTTTGGCATAGAGCTGAATAGGTGTCCTCTGCAATTTGTGGTGTTTGTGGCCTAATACGATGCTGAAATACAGGCAGAAAGTCATTCGCTTCCTGTTCTCCATCCTGCCCAGGCACTGTGTGTAGATAAGGAAGAGCATCTTGAAAATGTGAAGAGGGAGTGGGAAGCAGGCTAGGCGATGCACTTTAGAAACAGAGAGAAAAACAACAGGACGCGGGGAGAAGGAAAGAAGATGTCAAAAAGTTCCTGTTTTTTCAGGACTCTGAATTTAGGCTTGAGGAGATGGCATCCATTTGTTAGGACAAAAGTGTGATCACTTTAGCTGTGGACCCATTACCCTGGTGGGTACAGGTCCTCAATGCAGACTTAAAAGATCCTAACGTTGACCACCTTCACTGTAAGTTTTGGTGCGTTGTTTTAAATAATGTAGGCTTTTAGAGCTAAGCACTCGGGAACTGGGAAACCCCGGGGTGAAGATTGTCACTGCAGCGGTAACTTGATCCCTCTGTTCACATTTAGAATTGGATTCTACTGGATCACAGAGATCGTGGGTGATGCTGTACGTATCGTTGGAGACGAGCTTCTCACAAGTCGCCTTGATCCATGTGTTCATTAACTGATGTCCAGCTTGTTACCTCGCGATCTTACTCAGCAAAGTGCCCAAGGTGCAGCAGTGACCGAAGTCAGAAGGAGCTGACTTCTGCATGTACCAGGTACAAAGAACTGTGCTTCAGGTGTCTCAGGTGGGCATCATAACTCATCAAGAGTGATAGTGTTGTCCTTAATCACTCTGGGCCGAAACCTGTGTCTATGGGTGGGGCTGTTGGATCTGCCCTCCCCCAAAAGACTGTTAGGAGTTTATGAATCTTTCCAGGGATTTCACAGGAGAAATCGCTGAGGAAATGAATAGTAGTAACATAGTAAATGAGATACCTGTCCATGAACTGAATGATGAATGTTAAATTTTACGTTGTATGACTTTTATTCAGCATGTACAGACTGTAGGCAGACACTTGGTGGAAGTGATAGGACGTAGGCCAGCGTGTAACTGCATGGTCTTCCCGTGTGTAGGCAACGTCGCGGTGCAATCTGAGGCCACACTTGACAGACCCTTACTCTTCTTTAAATGCTTGACTTTTTAACCTCTCATGCTGTATTTAAAAAAAGCAGCAATATTTTTACAGAGATGCTGCAGAATTAGTGTACTTATGAACTTAATGACAACATTAGTATTTTCATGTTGTGAATTACCAGATATTTGCTTCTCCATTTCTTCCTATTTTTATTTTATCTAATACCTTAAAATAGTTGTGGATGAGAGAAACAAATTTCAGGTTACACTTTTGAGGGTAGGGGGAAGGAAGGGTAGACCTATTCCTGTAAAATTGTGAGTTTATTAGGCAGGAGCTCTTACTCAGTGTGGTTTTCTGTTTGTGTGTTCTGCGTAAAGCACAAAAATAAAATGTAATTATTGTTGAGCCAGTTGTCAGTCTGCTCTCTATGTAAGACTGATGAAATGTAGTTTTCCCTCAAGTTCGAGGAATGGTAAGCACAAAGGCAACATAGTCCTGCATACACATGATTCAGTTTAGCTGAATGGCACCTTGCTGCTATGGATTGTCATTTTAAAGACATTAAAAAACATTGTTTGGAGTTTCCAAATGTAGATACTAAACACAAAAAGAATAAACTGCTGAACACAACACACGGCAGTTCAAGGATCAGACTAGAAGTGGGAGGATCACCAACTCCAGGGAAGCCAGTAAGAGTCAGGAATGCAGTCAGGCGGGCATTGTGACTGGTTTTCAGAGCGACGTCTACATCTCAGGTGAAAAGCATCTCAGAAACAGTGATTAGAAGAGATATAAATAATCCTGAGATTACTAGGTGCCTTTGTTCCCTTTCCACTGTGCTGTCTAGAAAATGGTGCGCTATTTCCATACAGGAAAGGTAGATGTTCTCACTGTCTCAGTGCCTCTAGGCAAACTTGGCCATATAGTTTTAAAGCCAAGTAAACCTGACTTTTAAACTGCACCACACATCTTTTTTTTTTTTTTTTTTCCTTTTAGATGGAGACTTTTCATCTTGATGTTGTGGTGTGAGGTGAAAGTCTTGATTTTATTATGGCTGAGGGAACAGGTGGAAAACCTTTCATTTCCTAAATCTTTCTTGGTATGATTGAGCTGAATCTATGTGGCTTATGTTTTAAATTCAAACAATTATCTTACATGTGTGGATTCCTGAATGAAAGCTCTTCTCTCAGGTTATTAATAGACTTCCTTGGTTTATATTGCTTGTAAAAGAATAGGTTTAAGTTGAAATGCACTTTTTTGCTTCAGTGTAAATGTGATCCTAATCAGGACACTTCTCAAGACCAGTATATACCCCTGATGAACTATACGAGCCCAAGAGGATGTGTCTGTGAAGGAATCTTTCCCATCTCCTCCCTAACATCTTTAACACATCTAACAATCCCATGAAATGAATTATAAACTTGCAGTTTAAATGCACATTAGATCTAGACCTATTATACTGGCTACGTTACGCGTGTGACTTTTCTTAACCTGGAAATAACTGATGATCCTGTGAAGGGATGTGTCATTCAGGGTGGATACCATGTTTGTAAATGCTGTGAAGATACTTTAATTCCTGGAAAAAAACAAATTGTAAATGCTGTGAAGATACTTTAATTCCTGGAAAAAACAAGTATGAATCCTCCAGACACAGAGGTCTGGAGAGGTCCTGCATGCTGCTGCTTCTTGACTTTGTTCTCTTTCATATTAATTCAAACAAGGTCATGGGACGCACAGCTTTTGTGATGGGAAATTTTCAGCTTCCTGCTTGCTGTAACACTTGGTGCAGGGTTCTCGCTGAAGCTTTCAGATTTCACTTTCTGCAAAGACTTCAGGTCTCAAGTAGACAACATACTTAAGAGACTTATGTTCTGTTACCATGTAACTCGCCTGTACAGATTACTCATTCTGTGGCTTTTTAATGAAATTTGTAGTTAAGTATGTTTGAAGCAAACACATAGAGGACAGATCCTGATCTGTAACAATGGTGTTACTTTATTCCTTCAGTAGGTTGTTTCCATCATACCAAAAAAGAATGTAAGTGGATGGATGGTTTTAGTTACAAAATGCTGCTATTGCTGTGTGTTTTGTTTAATGCCTGGTACACTATCATCAGCGATAGCATCTCGAGACCCTAAACTTGCCTTTTTTTTTTTTTTTTTTAATTCTATCTTCATACTTTCCACACCATTTCTTGAAACTTCTCTTTCCCAACTGTATCAGTAAGTGCCGTTTCTGTTTCTGAGAGGCTTCCTACCCAGGAAAATCCAGTGTAGAATGACAGAGGACCTGTGACATTTGGGGCAGTTGATGTAATGAAGGGTCAAGATCTAGAGGAGATTTCTCCAGTGAGCAGCTGTGGGAAGCATTCAGTTATTAACACGTCTACACATACTGATGGCTGAAGGCTTCCTATAATTTGCTCTAGAGTTTATTTGTGTTTTTTTCTCCAAGTAAAAGACTGGCATTTGGGAAAGGGGTGGTGTTTTATTATTCTGTTGGATTGTTCTTCATGATTTGTTGTTTCCTCTCTTGCACTTTTAATTTCTAAGCTTTGTAGTTTCTAGAAGTGTGTTCTAGCACCGTAATTTTGTATCTGAGATCCATCACTGTATAAAATACTGTGAACAAATTTAAAATCTGATATTTTGGGTTATCTTTGATGTAGTTATGTTATCTATGATGTAGTTATAACTATGATGTAGTTATTAGTTACGAACTTTCAACCCTTGTAAACCAATATTTTATTTATTTTAAACTTCTTTCCTCCTGTTCCTCTGTTTTACAGGCAGGATGAAAGACCGGCTAAATGAGCTACGTGAATTTGCCCGGTTACACAACCAACAGTTTTCTGATATTGAGGATGACGAAAATTCACCCCAAGATGTTCTCCTTTATGAGACTGATTATGCCTTGGAAATTCTTCATAAAGACATACAGAACATCCGGACAGAAAATGACCACCTAAAAGAGGATGTCAAGCGGCTCAGAAAGCAAAACAGCCGCTTCCTTACTTCCATGCGCCGTCTTAGTAGCATCAAACGAGATACTAATTGTATTGCCAAAGACATCAAGGCCCGTGGAGAAAGCATCCACAGGAAACTCCAGATAATGAGAGATTTCAGCGAAGATGCAATAACAAAATACGGAGCTATGTCTGTCGTTGCCAGGGTAGCGAAGAACCACTACGTTGACCTCATGCACGCCTTTCAGGAAGCTATGTTTGAATACAATGCAACAGAGATGAACCAACGGGAGAACTGCAAGATTCGAATTCAGCGGCAGCTAGAGATCATGGGCAAAGATGTTTCTGGCAACCAGATTGAGGAGATGATTGAGCAAGGCAAGTGGGACGTCTTCTCTGAGAATCTCTTGTCGGATGTTAAGGGGGCTCGCTCAGCCTTGAATGAGATAGAGACACGTCATAAGGAGCTGGTGAAGTTAGAAGGCCGCATTAAGGAAATTCACGAGCTCTTTCTGCAGGTGGCCCTGCTAGTGGAGGAACAGGCGGACACCTTCGATGTCATTGAGATAAATATGCAAAATGTTGAGGACTATGTAGGAGAAGCTAAAGAGCAAGTGAAGAAAGCTTTGGAGTACAGAAGAAAAAACCCCCTCAGAACTATCCTCTGCTGCTGCTTATCCTGTTGCAGAAGGCAACTATCCCACTGAAGCTCTCTCAGACCGACTCGAATGTCTTCAAAATCAGGCATTCTTTCCAGTTACTTTTCTGTAATGACAACCCCTAGAAATGGGGGGCTGTTTTGCAGTTGGCTTTGTTCATTGCCTTTTTCCTAAATGTGCTGAAGGCTGTTCTATTTGAGAGCTCCTAGAAATGTTGATAAAACTATTTTTAATCTATTTTTAATTGAAATGTACTCTGTTGCTGTAGCTAGAGGTGCAAGAAGATCTCTGCAATGATACTTGTTTCAGATAGGCAAGAAAGAGGAATGAATGATAGGCTGATAATTCAGCCTAGGGAAGATGAGAAATTTCAAGAAGTAACTTCATTCTTATTTGTGAGGAGTAAGTATTTGAGTCTGCAGGCGGTTGCAGCCTTACCGCCTGGGGTGACACAATACACCACAGAACCAGGAGGTTTCAACGTTACCTAGTTTGGAGCCTGCTTGATGCAAATACTTGAACAGATTTTTGCTCTGTTCAATTGAGAAAATATTGAGCCTGCTAGCCGGAGCAGGACACAGAACTAGTTTCTATTTCAACTTGATTTCAGTCTGTCACAAATCTTAACAGAAGTAACTGCACCTTAAATTATAACATGCACATGTTGCTCTGTTTGTGTGCAAGTGATTGCTTTTCTCCCTTTTGAGTACCCACAACTTTGTCAAGGTGGCTAGAAGCACTGCAACACTGAGGCATCTCACTGGCTTTTAACCTGAGCCACTCTCTGTACTCTTAATTTCAAAACTGCCATGCTTTTATGCTTCCCATACATTCTTCTGTCAATTAACACTTGAGCCAGAAAAGATGCGTGCAGTGGCCTTCGGCAGAAGCACCTGTAAGAAGACAACATTTGGGGGGTAGAGAAAGCATTTTAGGGTCTCCTGTGCTGGCACATACATACAAGCAGTTTTAGTGGAAAGATTATTCTGTCAATAGACTTTTTTTTTTAATAAGCATTGATTTAATATGGATTTTTTAATATATACTTTAAATAACATGAAGGATTAAGTTTATTAACATTCCATTTTACCAGTGTACAAAAACTGAGGCTTTTGTCCCATTATTAGGAAAACTCCACCTGGGAAAGAAAATAGACATATTCCTTCAGTACACCTGAAGAAGAAAGAAAACAACATTTTAATGTCATTTCAGTGTTCTTTTCAAGCTTAAAAAGAATCTCTCCTTTTGTGTAAGGGGAGTCTGCCCATGGTAGGTTTGGAATATGAGGAGGCAATAGAAAATTTGCAGCCCTGGAAATCACTGAGCATTGTCAGTGAAGCATGTATTCATAAGGTCTGGGGAACAATTATAGCTCCTGCTTCTGGAGGTTTTCCAACTATAATATATCTAGGTGGCTTCCTGATACACTGTGATCTATTGCTCTCCTTTGAATTAATGCAGGACATTTTTTCAGAAGTTACTGACTTTTATTTAAAAAAAACTCTGATTCTATTTGTACCTACTTTAATAAATATATTTAAGCATTTCAAATATTTTGCATTTGGGAGTTTTCCTCAGGAGAGGCGCATAGCCATCTTCCTGCACCAATCGCAATGAAATGTTCCCTTTCTGATCTTTTGCACGCTATTTTTATATGTGAAAAAACACTCATACATTTCTTAATATTTATATTGAGAAAACAAAACAGCAAAATAAATTCAGCTTCCAAGCTTTCACATCCTAGTGGGAAATTCTTCTTAGCCAGACAACCTTTTTTACACAAACAGAAGCTAAGTGGATAACTTTTTCTCAGAAACTGAAAGTCTCTCTTGCTGAAGCGCTTGTCTGTGATAACATGGAAGAGTGAGGAACACTGATCTTCTAAACTAGAAGATAGATGATATTTTGATATTCAATGACGTCCTGATGCTATCAGTATTACACTTGCCTGAGGACCTCTCCAACAACCCAATGTTCAAACTTGAAGTGGGAGAAAGGAGGGTGTTGAGCTGGCACCATTACCAGTAACTTTGGTGCTACTTAAGAAGATAAAGTCGCTCACTCCTTAGGTACTGCCATTCAAGGCAATGGAACTCTGCATTTGTAGAGGAATACCCTAAACCTCATGAGGGTCAGCATGTAGGCATAAATAAATGAATAGAGTATGTATTTCATTTCATCTGCACATCATTCTTAGCACTCACCAATGCTTTTGATAAAAATATGTACATGTGGGGTTTTTTTGTTGGCTTCTTTTTTGCATACCTGTATGTCTACAAGTGTAATAAAAGAGTTAATAAGAAAAAATGAAAGTGCAGAGTGTTGTACATTGAATCAGCAGCTCTGAACAGTTTCTTCTATTGTCAAAGTCCATAACTGTTGGACTAAACTAAAAAAACCCTCTTCCTAATATTTGTTGCCACAATAAATCAAATGTGTTGCGTATTGAGATAGACTTCCCATAATTTTTTCTACAAAAACCATGAAAAATGAGTTTTGTACATTCTAAGATGATTCTCTACTGCAAGAAAAAAATACAAATTTACTCTGGCAGTTCTGAGAGATTTTGATGATTTCATTAGTAGAAATGCAAAGCTTAGCTTACATTCAAATCTTTAGTGTGATTGGACACATGGGGAAAAATAGCAAAGCATGAAGAAGGTAATTGGAGACCTTGTCTCTTGACTTAAGGGCTGTTGCTGCCAGGAAGAAACCGAGAATCATTGAAACACCAGCTTGGGAACCTTTAAAACTATTTTTAAGTTGCATTGTGAATTAGAGGCACTTAAAAAATTACTTCCAGTAACTGAAGAAATGGTTCTCTTCCTTGCAAACATGTGTTCATTGCTTAATACTATGAGTTTTTTTCTATCCTTCAGTTGTGTAAGAACTCAAATTTTGCCAGCCCATGAACTTGCCTAGGCACAGTTAAACAGACTTGTGAAAAAAACTGATCACACCCTGGTTGCAAAGACTCATGCCACATAGGATGAATGGAAGAAGATGATAAAAGTAGCTTGATAATTTGTTAGCGTAGCAATAACAGAAGCTGCAGAATGGACGTCTTCATGCTTGTTAAGGAAAGCTGCCTTTTCATTCTGAATGTCAACAGGACTCCTATGGACATGCACAGAGCATATTCTAGGGTTTGGGTTTTTTTCCTTTCCCAGATGTGGCAAGCCCTGTAACTGGGTTTGAGAGGGAAGTAGTTAAAATGTGAGAGGGGCTGCTTTAACTTTTAGTGTTGCTGGTACTTTGGTTTTGTTTCCTACTGAGAGCAGCAGAAGCTTCATGAAAAAAAACAAACCTGTGAGTCCCAGCCCCTTCCGAGGAGAAAAAAGGAGAACTGGCAACCAGGCATACCTTGCTCTTTCTTAAAATTTAAAAAAACATTGCATAAATAGAAAAGAAAAAAAATCCCCTATTACAAAATGGAATGTTGGGTATAGAATGCTGAATGTCCTGGATATGTGTATGAGTCTCCATTTCACGTTACAGCAATTATTTTTTTTTAAACATGGATTTCATTTTAGAGAAATGGCAGTGGAACCCTTGCTGCCTCAATGTGAAGGACTCAGACTATGGATGCACTTGAGCAGGCATCTCTCTGGCACATGTATTGGGAGAAACTTCTAGAAAGTACAGCTCAGTTTAAGACACAGGTATCTTTTTTTTTAGAGAAGAAAACCTGAGGCTGAATGGAGTAGCTAAGCTAAATTTCTGCTTTTCTAATGTAAGGAGGCCAGCCTACCTTAAGGATGTTTTGATTGCCCAGCCCAAGCTGGATTTTATAGTTTCCTGAGCACAAAACGGGTTCTTTAGATTTTTGAACCATGGTAGATATTTGGAAT